CTCCCCCACTCCTTTCCCCTTGCTCGCTCGCTACCCCCGACTTTGCTGCTCCGGCCTGCTCCGTTGTTAGCGCGGATTTCTATCGGCGTGTTGAGGACTCTTGAGCTCCGTCTCTCGCTCGCTCCCTCTTACTCTTACTCTCTCTCCCTCTCCCTCTCTCCTCCCCATCTTCCCGTCCCTTTCTCCTGTCGCCCCCACACCGCGTCTCGGTCCACCTGACTCCGCCCGACTCTCCCCGCGCTGCTCTCACTCGCCGCGCATTCTCGAGGAGAGCAGCCGTACAGGCGACGCTAAAAGTGCGCTGCTCTGGCGACCGCCGGCGACATTTTTCATATTTTGTCGTGTCTGCGCCGGGCTCAGGAGTCGCCATGAATTACAAGACGTAAACTGCTTATTTACCTCTCTCCCGTTCCCCGTTCACCCTCTGTCTGTCTGTCTGTCTGTCTACCCGTCTGTCTGCCCGTCTTTCTGTCTGCCCGTCTTCCTGTCCTCTCTCTCCCTCTCTCTCCCCCCTCCCTTCTCTCCTTGACTCTCTTTTTATCGCTCTGTTCTCCTCGATCCCCCCCCCCAGCCGTTTTGCAAATCGACCTGCGTAAACAGACCGACGGCAGAGCCGAATATTGTCATCAATTCATACGACAGCGTTCTGGTGGCTGCTTCAAAAGGTTGGCCCGGAGGAAGACCTAGGGAGGCCTCCTCAAATAACGCTTTTCATGCGCTTTTCCCATACCACGTCCAACTGTTTCCACTTTCAAATCGAACCGTTTACGACACATGCTAACCCTATAACCCTGCCTGCACACCGCGTCCGTCGGGCCAGTCTCAAAAGCACATGAACAAAACAAAAGTGCGGTAGGTTTACTGCCCTCACACGGCCGTCACGAAGCACATGACCACAATCTTCTTATGTCTATGCCGTCCCTGCGCCTTGCCAGAAAAATAGAGGAAGCACCGCAAAACAAAAACGATGAAAAAAAACCTTGATTACTATGGAAAGGGGGGGGGGGGTAAGACTCACGCAAAACAAGGGTCAGAAACATGAAAAGAGGGTGCAACGTGTAAGGAAAGAGAAAGTCAACCTCTCCCTCCTCTCCCCTGCACACAGGTCCGCGGCCATCTTGTTTGTCATCATCATTATTTTGTCTGACTATCGTCATTATTACTAACCTCTATTATAACTTCTTTGTGCGGGTGCGATGGTCGTGACGTCACCGACCAGCAAAGAGGGGGATGAGGAGAAGGGAGGGAGGCAGAGGGTTGGGGGGGGGGGCACAAGAGCGATACACACCATCACGATGATAAGGCATGATCCTCTCCTCCTCGGCGTGGCACCCCTCTACGTGCCCGCCCCCCTCCCCGTCCCTTATGTGGCCGCGCTGCCGGCCGCTAGCCTGCTCTCGAGGACGCCGCCGAGGAGACGCGCGACCGCACCGCGGCCGCCGGCCCGGCAGGCAGAGGAGCCCGCCGCAGACGAACAACTCCCGCCCTGTGTTCGGTGACACGAACGTCACCAAGTTTTAGCGACACTCACAAACATACATCGCACGACCGACATCATGACATGTGTTTTGGGGCGAGTGACTCAAATACGCGTCATCCAGACGTGTGACGATTTTTTGTATTTTTATTTTTATGTTGTACTTGGGGCATGCCGCGGGGGAGGGAGGGCAGATTAGTCTAGTTAACTAGTTCCCGGAGAGAGGACCAATCTGGCCAGCGCATACCAACCGTATGACGGTGGGCCGCTATTCGCCCCCCCCCCCCTCTTCTTTTTACTCAGAAAGTTTTGGGGCGCGGACATCATGCCGTAGTTAGTGCCGCCGTAACCCCTCGGCGATGGCTCGCTGTGGAGTCAGTGTTGAGTCTTCTTGCAAACATTGACGTGTCACTCCGAGCCGCTGTGTGGGGCTGGGGCTGGACGAGCTAGGCCTGGACGAGCTGGTGGCTGGACGAGATGGAGCTGGGCGAGCTGCCGGAGCTGGGAGAGCTGCCGGATAAGCTGCAGAAGCTGGACGAGCAGGAGCTGGACGAGCTAGGGACTGGACGAGCTATGGAGGCGGGCGAGATGGAGGTGGGCGAGATGGAGGTGGGCGAGCTGGACGAGCTGCTGGAGCTGAACAAGCTGCAGGTGAGCTGGACGAGCTATGGAACTGGGCGACTTGGAGGGAGCTACAAAGAGTAAGACACCTCTGCTTGCTGACGTCAAGGTCTAGGGGTATAGTACCGGCGCCGGCACATACACAACCCCCCCCCCCCCCCCCACACACACACACACACACAACACTCACACTCACACGAGCGCGCAGGTATACGTATGTGCCCGTTTCCAGGCGAGTTCCCCCGCTTAATTGATCTTAGCCAGTTCGTTATCAACTGGGGAGGTGGGGGGAAGGAGAGGGTGGGGGGTAATCGTGGTGCTCGCTCCAGCGCAACACACACTCCATCCCCACACAGCTTCCAGAGCAGCGCGCCGCCGGGGGTGTGAAAGGCTCGCCGCCGCGGCCTTGCGGGGCTCGACACCGACTCGACACGGTCAGCAGTTGCTCGAGGGTGGTGATTATATACGGCTCTAGTTATGACGACGACTGTACTCACCCCGGGGGCCCGGTCCCCGTCCCGGTCGCCGCAGTACCCCTCTGGCACGGCGCTCACACCATAGCGGGGGGCGGCTGTCCTACGCCGCGGCCTCCGGAGCAGCGCGCGCAGCTGGATCGGCGAGCAGCTCCTCCTTCCGGGCCTGCTGCTCCGGGTGGGCCTCCCGCGGGCCGGGCTGACACCTAGACGAAAGGAGAAAGCCACACTTGACACACTTCGGTAGGGGTTGGGCGAAGCAACCCCCGGGCGCCGCCCGCCCGGCTCCGCCCAGCTCTCCACAACACCCTCCCCCACTCCTCTCAGCCTCTCTGCCACGCTCCACATCCTCTGCTCTTCGTTATCCATAACCTGTCTATGCATCTCTCTCTCTCTCTCTCTCCGTTTCTTTTTCACTTACTTTGTAACTCTCTTCATCTGTGTGTGTGTGTGTGTGTGTGTGTGTGTGTGTGTGTGTTCACAGACGGTGTTCCTACACACTTCACTGACCCTTGCTGCAGGACAGAGTGGCAGCACCCTGCGGGAGTCACCAGCCTACCCTACCTTCTCTTCTACCACCTACCACTGGCCGCCACGCGGGAGGCGGTGGAGGCAGGTGAGGGAGCCACCGCTACCAGAGCTCCAGGGAGCTGGGAGCCCCCCCCCCCCCGCTCCTCCAGTCGTGATTAAATCCTTGCAGTAGAGTTCTGGTAATGACGCTCTTTCCTTTCCTACCCCGAGCAAGTTTGACGAGCGGCTCGGCCTGTGGCAGAGGGGCTGGGATGGAGGAGGGGGGAGGGGGCGCCCATGGGGAAAAGAAGCAGGACACAGCGCGGAGCGCGGTGCAGCCGGGCCCCGGCGGACCAACGCGGGCGCAGCGAGGTAGGAGGAAGAGCAGGCCTGGGCCGGGGCCGGGGCCATCGCTGCAAAGGCCGTGCTCGAGGACGGGGCCGGCCCCAGGGTAAAGGAGACCCGAGCCCGCACCGCGCACCGCACCCGAGCCCCGACCAGGCCTCCTTGTACACTTCTCGTGCTGCTGCTGCTGCTGCCGCTTCTTCCTCGAGGCCCTCTTGGGCCCGCCACCCCCGCCCCACCTCGACAGTTCATCTCGTAGCAGCCGTTTGAAGCCGTTGGAGTCGAGCGGTGGGGCCACCCGGCCGCCCCTCCATCCCGCGGGGAAGTCCCCTTTCAAACGTAAAAGGACGGCGGGAGGAGAAGACTCTGGCGATGAGCAGGCGGGTTACGACGGCGCTTTCGTTATATGTGGCAAAGTTCCGCGACAAGCATCTTGCGGGACTCCTCCTCCTCCACCACCTCCACCAAGGTCGCGACAACATCCACAACGGACGATCCCAGCAGCGGCCCCGGTCGCCGGCTCGTTCTTACCTCGGGGAATGCCCCTTCTTCCTTCTCTCTCCATCTTTTTGCGTCTCTCTCTCCCCCCCC